TAGTCCTTTGGTTTGCAGTGTAGGTCATTTGCCTTCCCTAGCACACAGGAGTGACTATAAAGCAGAAGCCAAACAAACCCCCTGTGGCTCCCATAGAGCCTGGCATACAGCAAGGGTCAGAAAGCATCTCCCTGGCTGACTGACCTGGAGCTGGAGGCTTGAAAGAAAATGAAACACGTTGGACTGGGCTGGGGACTAGAACAGAGACAATCCTGGCGAGTTCATCAGACACCAACACAGTCTTAGAAAACTGTCTACAGAAGGTAGCTCAGACTCTATGGCATCTGTGTTTGTGCAGAGATGTACACATATGCACATGTGGAGGGTGTAGACACATGCACGTGCACATTCATGCACTTATTGTGGGGGATAGAGGTGAGGCAAGGTGAGCAGGTGAGGTCCCAGGGAGCCTGCTTAAGAAAGAGGGCTCTCTGACAAAAAAGAATGAAGTACAGAATTCTTTCTCCCTTTGAGAAAGGGACTGCTGACCACCTAGCCTTTTGACTCCCACTGAGCCATTACCTCCCCACTCTTAGTACATCTCATGGTTCTCCATAACCTGTTCTGATCTAAGCCGGGCAGTCATAGGATCTATGAACAGAGTGGAGGTCCTATGAACAGAACACAGGCTTGTGGAGTGTCCCCAGCACTAGCTCAACATAGACAGAGAGAGCAGCATGCAGGATTCCAAGACGCCAGGATGCTCCTTTTTCTGTTTCCCATTGTGTCATGTCTCCATCCCCTGCCTGCTGCCCTCCAGAGGATTCCAGACTCCCCACATCCAAAGATCCGTGTGGCTCTAGCCTAAGAGGTGGGAATAGCTGAAGATCCCCTGGCCAGCCAAGGGTTAGTTGTGCCCGTCTCCTGCCTTCTCTACTCCTGACTCCCAGTCCCTAGGGCCAGGCAGCTCTACCCAGGATCCTTAGGATCTTCAGGGCATGACACAAAAAACACAGCTGATGCTTGGCCTCTGCTCCCTTTTGTGTCCTGGTCAATATCACTATATGGCCTAGGGTAATTCCTGGTGTGCCTCAGGACACACACTGGGCATGAGGGAAGCCCGAGGAGCAGTGGTCAGGTGATGGTAACTCCTGGCTAGGCTGGGTTTGGACAGCCTGAGGACCTTAGTCTCCAGCATGACATTGCCATAGGCAGCTACCGCCTGGGTGGAAGGAACCATAGGACTGTAGGATTCTAGATCCACCCTGGCCCTCACCATTCCTTGAGCCCAGGAGACTTGGGGTTGAGTGAACTGTGAGGACAAAGAATTTATAGAAGAGTAATTGACCTCCAAGTTGCAGTCTGGCTGCCTTGGATCTGTGTTCCTAAAGATGAGAACTACCCCTTCTGAGGACATCTGGTGTGCGTTAGACCCTTTACTTGTGCAGCCTCCCATGGTCTTCATTACCCTGGACAGCAAATGTGATTATCCCTGTCATAGATGACAAAACTGGCTCAAGGAGGCTGTGTTACCGACCTAGACCACACAGCCAGATTGGGGAGCTGGGTTTCAAAGTGGACCTTTGTGACAGTCTCCAAAGTTCTCCAGGCTGTCCCTGCCATGCTGAGGCCTCTAGCCCTGGGGTCCACATTGGCCACTCTCCCACAACCTCCTTCTCTGTGAACGGTGCCTCTCCAAGCACTCCCTGAAGGAGAAATCTACCTTCTCAAAGTGCCCCAAACTGGGCTGTCTTTCCAGCTGTCCACTGTCTATCAGAAAGCCCAGGCTGTGGACTAGGGAGTTTCATGCGTGTGGGAGTAGCAGGGGTGCAGAGATACAAAAGATGCTGGAGCCAGCAGAAAGACAAAAGAATGACGAGAAGGAACAGCTGCCTGCGAAAGGAAACCTGAGATAAGCACAAAGCTCGGTTCCCTAATCCCAGGCTCGTGTGGAGCCAGGGCCGGGTCCCCCCAAGGTCAGGGATTCTGGGGGCAGACAGATGGGTGAGCTGGCCCCCATGCCGAGGTGAGCCCTGCTCCGGTGTGCACAAACAACTGGCGCCCGTTCCTCCCCCTGCGCTCGGTCCCCGGCCTCTTCCTGGCCCTTTCTGCTCCTTTCCCTTTGGGTTTTGGGGCTCATTTTTAATTTCCTTTTTTCGTGCTGTCTCTTCCAGTTTCCCCCAATGGTCCCCCACCTCCAATTCCCGGTACTAATTTTAGCAACTTTTCCTCTGGACTCCCGCTGGCATGTTCACAGCAGATGGCCCCTAGTTGGGCCTGACACTTGATCAGGGTGGTGACAGAAGCCAGACAAAGCAGGCATGGTGCCGGGGGAGGGGAGGGCAGGGAGACAGATCACCTTCCTTCCACCCAGGCCTTATTCGGTCTACCTTGGTGAAACTGCCCTCCCTCCAGCCCCTTTTTATTTATAGCATTTTGCGCTGCCCTTTGTCTTGCCTGCTATCACTCTGCAGCGCACTCTGCACATTTCCATCACCCCACACTCACTCTCCCCACCAGGAGCACGTGTGTCCCTGTACGCTTGGGGTTGGACCCTGTTTATACAAACAGTTGCCCAGGACAGGGATCCTTCTTTCAGCCGCTGATAGTCCCATTGACTAGTACAATGCCAGGCAGAAAGTAGGCAATAAATACTTGTTAAAAGTAAGGATGGGAAGGGCCAGGAATATAGCTCAGCAGCACAGCACCTGCATGGCAAGCACAAGGTCTTCAGTTTGATTTTCAGTACCAAAAGAAAAAAGAAGTAATGGGCAAAGCCGTTCAGTCTTCAGACAGCAGCAAGCACAAAAAAGAATCATGATGAGCCAAGGGTAGGGGCTGCAGAGGCTGAAGACTGATAAGGATCTTCCCCCAACCCTTTTTCTGTTTTGATTTTTTGAGACAAGGTCTCTTCAGGCTGGGCTTGAATTCACTATGTGGCCCAGGCTGGCCTCGAACTCATGGTGATCCTCCTGCCTCAGCCTCCCGAGTGCTGGGATTACAGATGTGCACCACCACACCCAGCCCTAATGAGGATCTTTAAGGACATCAGAAGCCCAATCTGAGATATGAGGCAGAGAGTCTGGACTGCAGAAGTGCATTCTCTTCTGCAGTAGGACATGGAGAACAATAACATGGAAACACCAATAGGCCAGAGCCCCCCAAACCTGAAGGGAGGGAAACAAAGTGTGATTGGTGCACTACAGGTAGAGAAGGCTTCCCAACTCGGCAACGGGGAGGCTGGCTGAGGGTGAAAACATTGCCAGAAATGGCTCACCTAAGCCCCAAGCATAGTTTTTGCATCTGTCTCCTGCCTCTGTGCCTGAGCCTTGGAAATCATGGACGAGTGGCTTTGTGTTTAGAAAGCTGGAAGAGGAGGATGAGAGAGAGAGGTTTTCCTTCATCAACCCCTAAGGTCCCTACTGTGGGGCCTGATTCCTCAGCACCCGGCAGGGTGTGTTCTGGACAAGTTAGCACAGGACCCACTGAGGCCGCCTCGGTGACTGTACACCTCTCTGCAGAGCTGCGCTGCATTACTCAGCCCTGCGGCCTGTAGTCCATCCCCAGCTTGCCTGCAACCTCTCCCCAGCAACAGCTGGGCAGTGTGGCTTGGTTGCCAAGCAGCCCCTATGGAGATCCCATCCTGGACTTCCCTTCCCTGCTGTGCTTGTCCCATCTTCCAAATGTACCTGCTCTGCACCCCTCCCCCCAGCTGCTTTTCTCCTCCAAGGTAACAGCTAATCAGCCAGCGGTATAATTGGAGTAATCCACATGCACTGAGAGCAGTGCTGGGGAGGGAGGGGGATTTCAAACCAAGCCACAGAGCGGAGTGGTTGCCTGGACACAGGGCAGTGAAGCTTGCAGAGCCTGTGCGGGAGGAGTAAGGCACTGACTGTATTTGTGCTCAGAGGCCCAGCCCCAGCTTTCTTCCGGTCCTGTGGCCTGCAGGAAAAGGGGTCATTTTTCCTGCTCTGTTCCTTTCTCAACTCTCTGTGATACCAACTGCATATAGGTCTACACAAAGGTTACCCCAGCAGAGCCGGGGGACCAGGCAATAGCAGTGTAGACTGAGGGTCTTCTTTGGCTCATAGCAGCTGTGTCATCCACAGCCCCAAGAAGCAGGCTCTGAGCTAGGGCGTCAGGCACCAGCAGGGTAAAGCTAGGAAACCAAGTCAGGAAAAGGGCTCCATGCTAGGACCATGAGGCCATGTCTCTACCCACAGTGGCTCCTCACCTCCTTAGAATCCCCCCTCCTTCCCAGGCCAGGCTCCATCCCTCATCTGCTCATCTGCTTCCAGCCTTGAATCTTGCTTCCCTGATGAGCTGATTAGCTCTGTGACCTTAGAGAAGAAGGCACTTCCCCTCTCCTTAAAATGAAAAGCTTGGACAGATCACTAAAGACCTGTCTGACTCTGAGGCTCGGTGACTGCAACACACTCCCTGTTGGTCCAAGGAAATCAGTGCCGGAGCCAGAGTCCCCGTGTCTAATCTCTCTGGTCATTGTTCTTACCACTTAGCTAGGAAACCTCCTTCCAGCTGCCCCAGTCCAGCCCCTGCCGGGGAGCATGCCCCCAACTCTGCCCCACCCCTCTCTGCTGCTGACACTTGGTCCCTTCCAGTCTCACAGTTGGATAGCGGTCCCAGGCCAAGGGAGCAGAGGGGACCTTGCGAATATAGGGTCAGGCCAGGGTGGGTGGCGAAGGGTCTGAGGGGCAGCAGTGTCAGGGGCCAGGAGTGCCCTGCAGGACAGTTGGGCCCCTGCTTGCCTGAGGTCATGGTGGTCGAGGTCGGTTTGCTCTCCAGCCAGCTATGGAATGCGAGGCCTGGCCTGGGAGATATTTTTGCTGCACTTTGAGCCACCCCGCCCCCTGGAACTCAGACCCTGCACACTCCATGCCATAACAATGACGACCACTTCCAATTGTTTCCTAGCTGGAGGGGGAGGGGAGCAGTGTGTGTGGGGGGTGGGGAGAATGCTTTTAGTTACAACAGCCCTTTCTAAATCCGGCTAGGGACTGGGTGCAGGTGGGGGTGGGGGCACCCCGCTGCCCCATATATACAGCCCCTGAGGCCAGGTCTGGCTCTCAGCTCTCCTGTTCTTGTCTTTCCTTGCTGCTTTCAGGTAGGAATGGGAGCTAGAGGCCTGCCCTGGGATAGGGGGACTCCAGGATTAGGAAGCAGTTCCTCTAGAACAGCAAGCTTTTTGCAGGGCTTCATGGAGAGTATCAGATCTGGTCACTGAGCATTCACATGTAGTCTAAACATGCATGTTTATAATATGGAAGTGTGAGGGCTCATGTGTTCCTGGAAGAAGATATTTTTATCTCAGAGATGTGTGTGTGTGTGTGTGTGTGTGTGTGTGTGTGTGTGTAAGCACACAAGGTTTGAATGTAAGGGAGGGTATGGGCTTCACTACCTACGACACAGATATGTGGGAGGGGTGTGTTAATCATCAAGCCTGAGGACCAGCGGGTCTGCTGGAAGTGGGAGGAGGATGACAGAGAATGATCATATTTGAAGTGTGTGTGCTTCCACGCGGGTTCTGAGAGGTCTGGAATGTACAGCTGCCCACATCCGTGCACATGGAAGTGCCTGTCTGTGCATCCAGGAGTCAAGACTGTTAAGGTGTTTGTAACCCCTGCAGGAAGAGCTCACAGGAAGGTGGGTGTGGGTTTCCCAGGTCTTTGAACACTGAAGAATACGGAGCCATGAGAACCTGTTTATGCCATGCAGATGCGTAAATGCGCACATCTATTGTTGGGGCCTAGGTAGCACACTGGGGGTGCTGGGTACAGGAAGGAAGCTCGTCTCTGTGTGAGATACGTCCATGAGCAGTGGGCGTCATCAGAGAGTGTCTGGAAAGCATTTAGATGTATGACAGGTGGTCTCTGAAGGGACACCCACAGTGTCTCTCCTCTGAGAATGTCCAAAAGTCTGACAAGATGGGGACAGGAAGGAAAAGGACTGGCTGTGAACTCACGGGATTTATTGGTTTATGCCCTTGGACGAGCAAGCCACTTCACCTTGATTTCCTCATCTGTCCACACTTGATCTTAGCCAAAAGGCCGAGAAGTGATAAAAATTAAGGATTTGTATGGTTTGTTTTGTTTTGTTTTTTGTACCAAGAATGGAACTCAGGACCTCGAACTTGACAGGCAGGCGCTGTGCCACTGAGCTATATCCCTGGCTTTTTTTTCTCTCTTTAAGAGATGCACCATGTTTATTCCTTTCTCTCTCTCTCTCTCTTTTTTTTTTTTTTTTTTTTGCTGTACCAGGGATTGAACTCAGGACCTCGTACTTGCCAGGCAAGCACTCATGCCGCTGAGCTATATCCCCAACCCCCTCCTCATCCATCCATCCAGTGGTGTGAGGATGGAGTATGAGAATGTGCACAGAAGGGCTTCAACTTGAAAGCACCAAACAAGTGTGACAATCAATTGTGGTTTTGTAGATGGCCCAAAGCAAGGTTCATTAGGTGGGCAGAGACAAGAGGACCCAGTCTCCCAAGTGTGAAGAGCATTAGAACTCAGAATCCCGTCAACACCAGGGAGCTGTCAGAACCAGTCCTTGAGAGGAAAGGCGTAGTGTTCAGAAAGGAAGGAGGAGGATGGAACCAAGCAAGCTGTCCGCTGCATCCCTCTTATTCTCAGGTCTGGGGAAGGCAGGTGCTGAAGGACAGAGCCAGGGAGAAGGAGGCAGGCAGCACTAACAAGGCTGGGCCGCAGCCCATCCTGACACGGCCTCTTTCTTCTTTCTAGGCTCCCTTTTTGTATCTCTAGACACAGTTGAGAAACCAAGGTAAGAAAAGGTGAAGCCAGTGTGGTGGAATCTGAGCACATTAGGCACAGATTCAAAACCAAGCTACAGATCTCTGATTTCTGCCCTGCCTTGGGAACAATATCTTGGCTAAGGTGCACTTTACCCCTAACTATTGAGAGGGGCAGGGATGGATGAGGGGCTCAGGTGAATACAGGGAGATTCATTCTCCTGGGAGAAGCCTCGGATACTCTCCCACCCTCTAGGAGCAGTCATGCCTAAGCCGAAGTTGGTACCTCTTCTACCCCAATGGGTGTGCTACGCTGCTCTTCGGTTAAGGGATAAATGTAGAGAGCAACAGACTTGCTGGTGATGCCTCTGGAGCATGGCACTCGGTGCTGGGGGTGCCACCAAAGGGGAGAACCCAGGGCTGGGAGGGGATGCGGGCAGTGGAAGGGCAGCCTGCTTCTCCGGCTCACTCCAGGCCCAGCCATGGGGGATGCGGAGATGGCCGCCTTTGGGGCTGCTGCCCCCTACCTGCGCAAGTCGGAGAAGGAGCGGCTGGAAGCCCAGACCAGGCCTTTCGACCTCAAGAAGGATGTCTTTGTGCCCGATGACAAAGAAGAGTTTGTCAAGGCCAAGATTGTGTCTCGAGAGGGTGGCAAAGTCACTGCTGAGACTGAGCATGGCAAGGTGGGTGGCAGAGCTGGGAGGCCTGGGCACCTCCACACCTGGGCTAGACAGAAGGGTGCACACAGGGTCTGCCCAGTGCCTGCTGAGGCCAGTGTGGGTCTCCTTCGGGTAGAAAGACAAACTCTTCCTCCTTGAAGCCTTTTTCATTCCCATATTAATCAGTGCTCACTGTGAGAGGCTGGTTCCACCTTTGCCAAACACCACTGTCCTGTTCCTCCTCTGCTCCTTCCCCTGTGAGCGAGAAGGGAAAGCACAGGCTGATGGGCAGGCCTGTGGGGCTGTTGCAGACGGTGACGGTGAAGGAGGACCAGGTGATGCAGCAGAACCCGCCCAAGTTTGACAAGATCGAGGACATGGCCATGCTGACCTTCCTGCACGAGCCCGCGGTGCTGTACAACCTCAAGGAGCGCTACGCGTCCTGGATGATCTATGTGAGTGCCGGCTCTAGGCTCCCCCTCACCTACCAGTGAGCGGCCTGGCCCCGTGTTTCATTCCCGGAGCCAAGATGGCCATTCTTTGTGTGTGGGCAGCATGGCACTCTATCCCTGTCCCAACATCCTTGGCTCAATTCTAAAACCCTGAGGACTGGCACAGCCTAGATCGACCACATTCAGAGGTTTCCTTTCCCCTTTTCCTTCTGTGGCCTCTTTCTCTGACTCTGATAATTGCCACCCTTCCCCCTTCATCACCAGTGGCCCTCTTCCTTATTTCCATGCCCAGACCTACTCAGGCCTCTTCTGCGTCACTGTCAACCCCTACAAGTGGCTGCCAGTGTACAACGCTGAGGTGGTGGCCGCCTACAGGGGCAAGAAGAGGAGTGAGGCCCCGCCCCACATCTTCTCCATCTCCGACAACGCCTATCAGTACATGCTGACGGGTGAGCCTGGCCCCCCAGCCTGTGCCCCCAAGCCCCACGCCCAGCTGGGCCCCCAGCCCTGACCCCACTGCCGCTCTTCTCTTCCAGATCGGGAGAACCAGTCCATCCTCATCACGTGAGTATAGCTCCTGCCCTGTTCCCTGTGAGAACCCCGGACCTGAGCCCCAGCAGAGACCCAGTACAGACTAGTCTGTCCCTCAGCCTTCACGCTTATCTCCCCTCTCTTCTCTGGTTTTTGTCCTGACTATTCTTTGCTCTCCCCTCTTTCTCTCTGCTTCCCATCCCTCTCCTACCTTTCTTCTTTCATCTCCTCCGCCCACTCTCCTCCAGGTCATCCCTTACTTATCCATAAGCCCAGCATCAGTGTGTCTTTTTCATCTCTTCATTTTCTTTCATCCTTCCCTTCAGAAACCTTTCTTATCTTTCTAGTCCCATCCATTCTTTTCAAAAATAGCCCAGGGCCTCGTCCTCTGATTGACTGTCCCCAGTCCAGCATGGGCTCACCCTGTGCAAAGCCAGCACCTTGTTGTAGCACCCTTCTTTGTCGCCACCCTGACCTGCCATATGTCCAAAGACAGCTGTGTGCTTTTGGTGCACATTGTCAGGCCGCTTCCTGCTCAGGGCTCCTATTTGGATAGAACGGACCTCCTTTCACTGATCTCAAGTAGTGCTGTTCTCTACCTCATGAGACCCTGACTGTCCCAACAGCGGAGAATCTGGTGCTGGGAAGACAGTCAACACCAAGCGGGTCATCCAGTACTTTGCTGTTATTGCTGCCATTGGGGACCGTAGCAAGAAGGAGCAGACTCCAGGCAAGGTAGGTCTGTAGTCCTCCAAGGGCCTGCCATGCAGAAAGGCAGGGAGAAGCCCTCTTACATGACTTTCTTCTTGACCTCTGCAGGGCACCCTGGAGGACCAGATCATCCAGGCCAACCCCGCCCTGGAGGCCTTTGGCAATGCCAAGACCGTCCGGAATGACAACTCCTCCCGCTTTGTGAGTAGTCCCTGACCTTGGGCTTGGGACTTTGGCCTTAAATGTAAGCCTTCCCCCAATCCATCATCACCATCTTCCATCTCTTCAGGGTAAATTTATTCGAATCCATTTTGGGGCTACTGGAAAGTTGGCATCTGCAGACATAGAGACTTGTGAGTGCCATGAATCTGCTAGGGCTTAGTCTGAGCTCACCCTTATCCAGATCGTCTGGCTTGAACCTCTCTCCCACACCACCTCCCTGTCTTTGTTTTTCTCCTCTTTTCCTGTCTCAGTCTCTAGGTCTGTGTGTTTTTCTATCTCTGAGACTTTCTTAGGATCTTTCCCGATCTCTGCCTCTGTGCATCTGTGTGTGTTTCTCTGGGACTTCTCTCTGAGATCATTTCTCTTCTTCTGGGACTGTCTCTCTCTATATGAGTTCTGCATGTCTGTGTACCAGTCTGTCCCTCTGCCTTTTCCTTGCTATATTTATCACATTAACTTTCCTCTATTTCCTTGAATTTAATCCTAACCTTTTCTTTTCTTCCTTCTTCTATCTGCCTGTTCACAGACCTTCTGGAAAAATCCAGAGTTATTTTCCAGCTGAAAGCAGAGAGAGATTATCACATTTTCTACCAAATCTTGTCTAACAAAAAGCCTGAGCTGCTGGGTGAGTCAGAGCCACTGACTGAGACTAGATATCTCCATGGCAACCCGGTCCCTTCCGCTTGTAGCTGGATTCTGTTGGCATGCCCTGGGCTTTATGGTACTGCTGGATTCACTTCTGTGGGACGTAGAGCCAAGTCCAGCCCTGTCCTGTGCTTTCCCCAGGGCCATGTGTTGTGGTCAGCAGCTCCCATGACAACTAGAGGCTTGTGTCATATCTGAGCACATTTTCTCCCATTAGATATGCTGCTGATCACCAACAACCCCTATGATTATGCATTCATCTCCCAAGGAGAGACCACTGTGGCCTCAATTGATGACTCTGAAGAGCTCATGGCCACTGATGTAAGTGTGTGAGGATTAGCCAGGGAGTGGAGGGTGAGCAATGGCAGCACACGGGGCAGAACTAAGACACTGGCTGTCTATTGTTCAAAGTGGCTTAGCCCTCTTGGGAGGCCAGAATGTGCACTATGACCAGATATGCTGGGATATGGGTGAGATGAGACAAGACTGCCTAGTATTTGGTATTCAGTGAAACCAGAGAAGGCAGAAAGGCATGGGGCAGTGAGGCAAATGAGGCCAGAGATAAAGAATCTGCAAAGAAGAAAGGGAAGAGAGAGTCACTCGGATGCTTGGGGCTGGGACAGGGTGTTGGGTAAAGGACAGACACATACAAATATGGAAGACCAAGCAGGGAAGCCAGTGTAAGGACTGGGAACATAAGTGGGTATCCCAGACCAGCCCCAGGGGACAGCTGTGACCGATAGAAGGCACAGGCCTGTGACAGCCACATGCCCTGGTACCTTCCCTCTTTATCCTGGAGCTCCCCATTGACTATGGTAGTCTCAGAACTGAAAGCAATGAAGGAGACAAGTTCTCTCTCCATCTCAGCTATTGATAACTGATCAGACTTTTTTCTGATCCTTGGAAATGGGGTGTACCCACAGAATGCCTTTGATGTGCTGGGCTTCACTCCAGAGGAGAAGAACTCCATGTACAAGCTGACCGGCGCCATCATGCACTTTGGAAACATGAAGTTCAAACAGAAGCAACGGGAGGAACAGGCAGAGCCAGATGGCACTGAAGGTGGGAGGCAGAGGAGCTGGGGGACAGATGTCCAGTCATTGAAGACCACATCTGTACAACAGTCTTTCTTTTACCAACCTTGCTACCTGGCCTTCCCTTCCAGAGGCAGACAAATCAGCCTACCTCATGGGGTTGAACTCTGCTGACCTGCTCAAGGGGCTGTGCCACCCTCGGGTCAAAGTGGGCAACGAGTATGTCACCAAGGGGCAGAATGTCCAGCAGGTGGGTCATCTTCAGATGAAAAATGAGTAGGATGGGGATCTTAGCATGGTGACGTGGGAGGATTCAATTCTCCCCAACAATCCTGTTCATTTGGGTCTCTTTCCCACTATGTAGGTTGCATATGCCACTGGAGCACTGGCCAAGGCCGTGTATGAGAAGATGTTCAACTGGATGGTGGGGCGCATCAATGCCACCCTGGAGACCAAGCAGCCACGTCAATACTTCATAGGGGTCCTCGACATCGCTGGTTTCGAGATCTTTGATGTGAGTCCAGGGCCCCAGGAGTAGGATGATCACTCACTCACTCACACAATCACAGTCACTGTGCAGGGCCAGCTGGGGGCCGGGCTGGGAAGCCAGCGGGAATCATGCAGTGCCATGGCAGTCATCGTCCCTGTCCTCAGGGAAACCTACACCACCATCCCCACTACCCTAACTTGGCTTGGAGGGGACCAGCCGCCCCCTGCTGGGTTCAGGCAGGACATATGCTGGGCTGACCCCACTGACCCCACTGACCCCTCCCACCTGAACCACTGCCGCCCTCACCCCTCTGCAGTTCAACAGCTTCGAGCAGCTCTGCATCAACTTCACCAATGAGAAGCTGCAGCAGTTCTTCAACCACCACATGTTCGTGCTGGAGCAGGAGGAGTACAAGAAGGAGGGCATTGAGTGGGAGTTCATCGACTTTGGCATGGACCTGCAGGCCTGCATTGACCTCATCGAGAAGGTGCTGCCGGCCCCACCACGTCTCCTCCTCTGCCACCCCAGACCGAGTGGCAGCCCCATCCCTTCTGGGGGTTATGGTCTGACTAGCAGAAGTGGGGCCAAAGAATCCCAAGCCTCCGTTCCTAGAGCCCTTTGTTGGTCTAGCACCCAGGGCCTTGAGAGCAGACCCGTGGAGGATGGGCACTTGCAGGATGCCCCCCCCCCCAGCAGGTCTGGCCCTCGTTTACACACCCAAGGACCAGCAAGTGTCAGGTGGTGTGTTTTCACCTCCTCTCAGGGATCTGGGCGATGCAGTGGTGAGTAAAACCCCAATAGCAGCCCCGTTCCTAGACTTTCACAAAGGTCCCTCTGTCATCACCAAAGTTCCCCACTTGGGGAAAGCTGGAACAGGTGCCCGTCAGTAGATAACTGTCCTCCTTGCTGAGCCGAATACATTTCCACCCCAAGAGCATCTCTGCAAGCACACGAGGACTGTAGAGCAGACTCCACTTCCAACTGCATGATGCACACTTGGTGACACTCTCTCCTCCCCTCAGCCCATGGGCATCATGTCCATCCTGGAGGAGGAGTGCATGTTCCCCAAGGCCACCGACATGACCTTCAAGGCCAAGTTGTTTGACAACCACCTGGGCAAGTCCGCCAACTTCCAGAAGCCACGCAACATCAAGGGGAGGCCAGAGGCTCACTTCTCCCTGATCCACTACGCTGGCACCGTGGACTACAACATCCTGGGCTGGCTGCAGAAGAACAAGGACCCACTCAATGAGACAGTGGTGGCCCTGTACCAGAAGTCCTCCCTCAAGCTTCTCAGCACTCTATTTGCTAACTACGCTGGGGCTGATGCACGTAAGTATGGTCTGGGGCTCAAGGGGTTGAGGGGCCAGTTTCTGCCATGCTTCTGAGGGATATCAGCTGCTCCACCAAACCCCTTCCTATCAGGCTGTCCCCTGAGGCTTACAGACTTAGTGGGGTTGAACACAGGCAACCACACTGAAGACCCGCATCTGTGAGGTGTGAGGAGAGGCTGTGATTCTTCACCTCATGCCCTTGCTTCTCCACACACCCACTGACCCTCACTTTGATGACTTCTCCCACAGCTGTCGAGAAGGGCAAAGGCAAGGCCAAGAAAGGCTCATCCTTTCAGACTGTGTCAGCTCTGCACAGGGTAAGCCCGTGGCTCTGGCCCAGCGTGGTCCCCATCTGCTCGGGTCCCCCAGCCACTCCCCAGCTGCAGCATTTCCCTGACTGTTCCCCCCAACTCCTCCTCTCCCAGCCTCGTCTGTTCCCATCCTTTCCCCTCCTGTGCTCTCTTCTCTTTATCTCCTGGCTGCCAATCTCACGCGCTTCCCATCTCACCTCCCTCTCGTGTCTCGCCTGGCTTCCACCCTCTCTCAGGGACGCTTTCCTCCAGCACGCTTCCACTTCTTCAACCCTCACATTCGCACTCTCTCTTTCCCTTTTTTCTCTCCTTCCTTTTCTTCTCTTCTTCTCACTTCCTTTCCATCTCTGTCTTGCTTTCCCTGTCACAGGAAAACCTGAACAAGTTAATGACCAACTTGCGCTCCACCCACCCCCACTTCGTGCGTTGCATCATCCCCAATGAGACCAAGTCCCCAGGTGAGCTCACAAACTTGGGCCAGCCCACCACTGGGTACGCACTGCCCAGGCGCCAGGGCCTCCTAAGTCATCTCATCTACTGCCACAGTGGTTTCCAAATCCCATTCTCCAGACTTCCCCTCCCAGAGCCACCTCACACTTGGATTACGTGACTCAAGGTTAACTGTAAGGCACTCTGACAGCCATTAGCTCATCACTCACTTACAGCCCTGCCCTCGAGTTGGAAACATAAAGTCGTCTATCACTTTTACTCAGTAAGGACACAGAGGCTCGGGACCTTAAGGCCTGGCTTTGATTTTGATCAGTTCAGTGATTTTAGGCAATCAACCCCTTTGGCATTGTGTAAAAAATGGAATATATTTATTCTGGCTACCGTCTATGGTAACAAGTATATGCCATATAAAATAAGAAATGTTAGCTGGGCGTAATGGTGCATGCTTGTAATCCCAGCACTAGGGAAGCCGAAGCTGAAGCTGATCTCTGAGAGTCTGAGCCCAGCCTGGGCTACACAGTGAGTTCAAAGCCAGCCTGAACCACATGGTGAGACTCTGTCTCAAATGAAACAAAACAAAATAAGACAAAAAATAAGAAATGTCATAGTCCTTTTGTTACTCCTAAAAATGTAGCTGTGAAATAACAAACAAAGGATTATTAACTGACTTGCTAAAGTTCTATGTTAATAAGTGCCAGAACTAGGATCAGAACCCAGGACTTTTGGCTCTTAGTGCACAACTCTCCTCACACACTCCTCCCCCTTCCCTTCTACCCACAGGGGTGATAGACAATCCCCTGGTCATGCACCAGCTACGCTGCAACGGTGTGCTGGAGGGCATCCGCATCTGCAGGAAGGGCTTCCCCAACCGCATCCTCTATGGGGACTTCCGGCAGAGGTGGGCACAGGGGCTGCCAAGCTCAGGGAGCACAGGCAGCACGGGAGCTTGGGATGCCATGTGGGGGTGGGGGTCTGCAGGTGGCCCTGGAATTCTGCAGGCGAGCAGATCCTGGCAGAACGGGGTGACGCTGGGCACTTCCCTCCCCAGGTATCGTATCCTGAACCCAGCGGCCATTCCCGAGGGGCAGTTCATTGACAGCAGGAAAGGGGCAGAGAAGCTGCTAGGCTCCCTGGATATTGACCACAACCAATACAAGTTCGGCCACACCAAGGTGAAGAAATGCAAGAGTTGAATTACCTTTTGTCCTTTGATTCTTTACCTTTTGACTCCTTTCCTTCCACCAGTCATCCCAGGGATATCACTGAACCCTACACTACCTGCCCCCTGGCTATCCCAGTAGGGCTCCACCTCCACCCCCCACCCCCCACCCCCATCTGCACTGCCATTGACCCCCTTCCTCTGCCCAATTCCTCCCTAAACCATTGCCTGTCCTAAGATAATCCTCATCACTCCTTTCTCTCACTGCCCTTTCTAGTCCAGCACAACATACACTTTCTCTGCAGGTGTTCTTCAAGGCGGGGCTGCTGGGGCTGTTGGAGGAGATGCGAGATGAGCGTCTGAGCCGCATCATCACACGCATCCAGGCGCAGTCCCGGGGCGTGCTCTCCAGAATGGAGTACAAGAAGCTTCTGGAACGCAGGTGCGAGATCTCAAAAGAAGGTTCCCAGCCTCTCTGATATGCAAGCAGATACAGGAAGAAAGGTGTTACTGGTTCTTCAAACAAAGACACCTGTGGAAGTAGGGGGCTTGGATGGACACAGTGTGGGCCTTGGAAAGGGTGGAATGGGTAAAGAAAAGGGGGCATTACCTAGGAGCCAGGATCTCAACTGGGAGGAGGCAAGAGGGTTCACTCACCACCCATGTTGCTGGGCTTCTGCAGAGATTCCCTGCTGATAATCCAGTGGAACATTCGGGCCTTCATGAGTGTCAAGAATTGGCCATGGATGAAGCTTTTCTTTAAAATCAAGCCACTGCTAAAGAGCGCAGAGACAGAAAAGGAGATGGCCACCATGAAGGAGGAGTTCGCGCGCCTCAAAGAGGCGCTGGAGAAATCTGAGGCTCGCCGCAAGGAGCTGGAGGAGAAGATGGTGTCACTGCTGCAGGAGAAGAATGACCTGCAGCTCCAAGTGCAGGCGGTGAGGCTCCAGAGCCACTGTTGGCCCCATTCATCCACCCTATTCTTCCTGCAACCTGTACCTCCCTGCCCAAGAGCTCACATGCTGGTCCCCTCAAAAGCAAGAGGACTCTGGGATCACACTTCCAAAGTGGTCCCTAGAGGAGGGAAAGTAACAAGCACTAACTTTTAAACATACAGGCTTTCTACACGGATTCAACCTGGATTCACAGCTTAATAATTTTATGACCTTGGGCAAATCACAAATCATCTTTGAGCTTCAATTCTTTCATCTCTAGACAGGGAACAAAACTGATCATCTTACTAGGTTGTAAATATATAAAGCATTTGGCATTAGCAAATACAGTTCTTCCCCTTTAATAGTGGAGAATAGAGGAAAAGAGCCAAATAGAGTCCTCTAGTTACCTTCTCTGCTCCTCTCCCCAGTACTCCTAAGCCATGCTGCCTAAAGCCATGCTGCCTGAAACTCTTCCTTTCTCCATTCTTCTGAGGTTCTTCTTAGCTGAGAGTACCTTGGGGCTTCCCTCCTGTTTGAGAGATGCCCCACTTTCTTCCTCCACCTGCAAGGACAGCGACCCTGCCCAGTGAATGGTCCCCTTTTGCATTTTGCCCTCAGGAACAAGACAACCTGGCTGATGCAGAGGAGCGCTGCGACCAGCTGATCAAGAACAAGATCCAGCTGGAGGCCAAGGTGAAGGAGATGAATGAGAGGCTGGAGGATGAAGAGGAGATGAACGCTGAGCTCACTGCCAAGAAGAGAAAGCTGGAGGACGAGTGCTCGGAGCTCAAAAGGGACATTGATGACCTGGAGCTGACACTGGCCAAGGTGGAGAAAGAGAAGCATGCAACAGAGAACAAGGTGAGGGCAGCCCCCTCTGGCCCCAGCCCAGGTCTCCTCAGATTCCAGACCAGAGTCGGGTGCTGGTCCTTGGCATGGAGGTTCCCACTGATGTCCTTAGCTGTTGGCCTTTGGTTCTGAAGGGGTGGGGGCTTTGGTTG